TATTGCATTTATTGCATTTCGTGCATTTTTCACGTGATCGGTCACGATCTTCGGTATCACAATATCCGTCGTCACAACATCAACACCCAACTATTTCCAATAAATATAATATAGCTTAAGTAAATGAGAAAGTTGCTAAAAAATTTGAAACTGTAGAAATTGTAAAAAACTCTGAAAACTTTTAAGAGGTTTAATCTAATTTTAGCTTAGTAAATTTTCCAATTAAATCGTAATACGTATCAGGTGTACTGTTACACAAAGGAAAATTTAATCCTTCGTTACACGCAAACCTAATCATGTTGTTTTGATTTCATGTTACACCTGATCTTATATGGTCAAAAAATGATCAAATCCTAAATATAATTTGATTTCAATATTTGTATTTTTGATCATTAACGTTATTAACAAGATAAAATATAACGCACATCAAAGTTTAAAAAATATAGGAAATTAAATTTTAATTTGCTCAGTGTATTTATATATGCGCAAGGTACGTATTGAGTTGCGAAAACATTTTTAATGGGCATTCTGCTCCTTTCACAAATTAATTCTAGACACTAAATAGTATTCACCGCTTGAAAAAGAGGCAAATTATTACCAATAAAAATTATCACTAAAGAATCCTAGCTCGATAAAAAATAGGCGTGCTAATGTTAATCACTATTTTGTAATATGGGAACGCCCATAGCAAAAGGGGGGATGGGACTATATAATATATAGTCCCATCCCCCCCTTTTGCTGTGGGCGTCCCCATATTAATAAAATCGTACTTGCGAGCATAGAGGCAAAGCTAACATTTTTATATGATTTATCAACAATCTACTTCTAACCAACATTAACTATATACCAGATAAATCCTAAGTATACCAATAGCAACATAATAATGATTTATATTTATGACACTAAATAAAGACTCCTTTTTTTATTCTTTGTTTATATATACTCTGCGTCATCTTCCAATTTACGTAGAAAAATATGTCATTTATAAAATTAAAATTAATGTAAATATCCAGTTTTTTCGCGATAATAAAGTAATATCAAGGATTATGTAAAGATCTAAAAAAGTTTTTTCCTACAAATTAATAAACTTTTTTGACAAATTTAAATTATTTTCACTGTAGTAAGTTTGATATCCCATACGTATTAAAATCGACCAAGTTTATACTTCAATCAGTACGTGTCGATTAATGATTAACAAAATCTAACATATATAGATAACGATAAATCTAAATATGATATATTTAAATTCACGTAGCGAATCTACGGGAACGGATTACACAAGTAACGAGAATGCCAATATCAGATCCTATCTGACTTTTAACTGCACTATAACTCGGCTCTTTAATAAGCCGAATCAAGGTTACAAATCAATTCAGTTCGTCGAATTCGGTCTTAAAAGGATTATTAAAGTCAAAGTTGAATCCAAATGACAATTGACAAGAGAATATTCAGATAAGTGTTTATTCTTTATTTTATCGAATAATGATTTTATTACTTGGACATGCCGCTTTAAATACATTTAATTTTTAGGTACGTTTACGCTCTTCCTAGTATACCCCTAAAAAAAAGTTACGAAACTGAGTTTAAATTTTTTCCGAATAACAAAATCCTATATTCAAAATTAGAAGTCTATAATCAGCGATGATGATACTTAATTGTCGTATTTAATAATTTTACCGAATGTATGAGATTTATCGAAATGCATTTGGAAATAAATGAATAGTATATAATAAGATCACATGCTTTTGGCCGAATTTATTATTGGTGCCCAAACGTCATACAAAGTAAAGTCTAGTACTACGTATAGTTACACAATAAAGTCTAGTCTTTTTTTTTTGTATATATACTACTACGATACAAGTAATTCTCTTTAGGCCGTTTTATAATAATTAGCGGGTGGGACTGAACTAAATCAGTGGTAAAAAAGGGGGGAGCATGTGATCTTATTATATATTATTCGTTTATTTCCAAATGCATTTCGATAAATCTCATACATTCGGTAAAATAAACTTCATAGTATATAATAAGATCACATGTTTCTTTAAAGTAAATTATCATACGATCCTCTAGCTTGATTCATAATTTTTTCGGTAATGTTATTTTGTTCTAACATCAATTTGATACCCCATTGGTAGAAACGTTGATATGTGTGTAAATTTGACCAGTTTACTAATGCTAGAATTGAGTTTAAGTCAGCGCCCACATTCTGGGCTAATAATGCCGATAATACACGAATGTCTTTGGCTTTTCCATCAGGCGCAGACTTTCTAACAATATCTTTTAGCCAATTGGCAGTGGTATCAACTGCTGCCGGCTTGTGAAGGCCTACATTAGATAAGAACAATGCAGTTTTCTGGTCCTCAGAATGTCGAAGTTCTTTTGTTCTAAACACATAATGGTGTAGGGTCATAGCTAGGCATAATTCTGCGCTTTCCTGATATTTACCAATAAATATCTTCATGCGTTTTTTATTAATTCCATGACCTATGGCAATATTAACTTCCTTCGAATTTATACATTCAATAGTAATACCATTTTGAACAAACCTAATGGTAGTTAGGTCTAGTCATGCGAGGTCTGAGGGATGACAAGCCGATGAAAGAGCACATAAAAAGGCTGTTTTTTTCACAAGAGTTATCAAAGGTAAACGATCATTATCTCCTAAGAATACAATATAGTTCAAAGATGGTGTGATGTCATATATCTCGTCCCCTGATTCAGTAGGCAGATTTGATCTAAATATGCCTAACATTAGATTTGCTATGTCACAATTTTGTCCAATCAGTAGGTTGTTAACAGGTTCGTGTTTTTCGCTTATTACTGATCTATATGCGGTGATGGTGTTGTATGATTTTCTTTCATTTGCTTTTGTTGTGAGAAATTGTATAATGTCACTCACAGGGTAACAAATGGGATCCTTAAAATTCTCTGTGCATCATAAGGTCCAGGTATGTATGTTGGATGATACAGTGCTAGTTGAATTTGGGTCAAGGGCCTTGACAGATAGCTGGATAGCCTGTTGAGAAATGCCTTCTTCTAGAGGCACTGCTGGAGATAAGCCATGTGCATATTAGGTACTTTGTTCTCAGTTGAGGTATGGTGCCTGATATCAGGCCTGGGAGTAGAAGGTTCTTTGTCAGTAGAACTCAAAGTAAGTCTATTATCATATCTAATAGAGCTAGGAACCAGCTCGCTGATGTCCATAAGGGTGTTATTAGACATATAAAGGCTCGTTCCTTCTGATCTTTGGCTAAAATTCTGGGTATCAATATCTATGGGGATTTGCATAGTTCATTGCCCCTGACTAGGGTTGTGTGAAAGCATTCACTGCTGCTGCCATTGGATCGGGGTGCCATAAGTAGTACATTGGTAGTTGGGTGTTAAGCCTGTTCGCAAACAGATTCACTCTGAACAGGCCCATCTGTTGTGTATCTTTTTGAATATTTTGGGGTTCAGCATCCAATCATGTTTGTTGAAGCGAAGTTGGAATGCATAGTCTGCTATTACATTGTGAATCCCTGGCGCATGTTGAGTCTTCAACTTGATTTTCCTTTCGAGGCATATTTCCCAAATTGCTTTTGCTACAGAACTGATTTCTGGTGAACTACCCCACCCTGGTGGTTGAGATATGCCACACATGCTAAATTGTCCGTCTTGATCAGTACTGTCTTTCCTGTCAAGTCCTTGAATGTTATTATTGTGAATTGAATTGCTTTCATCTCTAATAAGCTGATGTGAAGTTTCTGTTCTTTCTTGTTCCACAATCTGTTTATTAAGATCCTTTTTCTGTAAATGCCCTAGCTATGTTGTGATGCATCTGTATGTATTGTGACTAATGGTATTTCTGGGATTATCGATTGTCCATTCCAATTCTTCAGTTGATCTACTCATCATTGTAATTGTTCTTTTGCCTTTACTAATAGATCTAAAGAGGTGTTCCAGCCACCTAACTTTATAGTTTTGTTCTTCAGCCTTAGCAATTTCTAAAACTTTAGTCTTGCTAGGTACACTGTGCATGTTGTAGCTAGAAGCTTTCCTATAATTGCTGCCAGCTTTATGACATGGATTTTGTGCATATTTGTGATTATTTTGCATTTCTGTATCAATAGATTTGTTTTTTTCTTTGAAAGAACTATGATCATATCTCTTGAATTTATTTTGAAACCCAAGTATTCTATAGATTAAGTGGGTACCATTTACTTTTTTGTGTGTTTATCACAAAGCCTAATTCAGTTAGAAGCTTTTGCACAATTCTGAGATGTCACTTCAAGGTTTTTTTCTTGTTTGTCATTATCAATAGGTCATTTAGGTATATTACAATTTGGATCTTTTTCTGGTTTAGTATTTTTAGAATAGGTTTTAGAACCTTTGTAAATATTTTGGGACAAGAGGTCAAGCTGAATAGAAGACATCTGAAGCAGTAACGTTGTTCCAAAAAATCAAACACAAAGTACTTTCGGGTGGAGGGATGTAAAGGTTATGAAAAAATGCATTTTTTATATTTATAGATACAAATAATCATTTCTTCAGTTCATCTATAGAATAAGGTGTACTAATATACTTGATAGTCACATTGATTATCACATTACACAAATATAATAAATGATCATCAATATATTTTATTTACATTAATGTTATATGATAGATTTGTGCATCGAATTTAAGAATACAATTACAAAGAAAAGATAAATGTCTGTTGGTTCTTTGTAGTTATAAGAATTACCAAAAGGAGAATGGATAAAAAAATAATAAGAATTACATAGTAAAACAGTCTTAATCATTTATTCAATATTACTAATTCATCTATGTTTAGAAAATTGTGAAACTAATTCTCATGTTCAATTCAGAAAATAGATACTCAAAATTCATTTTTGTAACAAACATGATAACTAGAAAAGGTTATTAAAATAAGAATCGAATTTCTGAATAAGTTCAACAACTTTTACCTGAAGAAAAACGAAGAAAAAATGTATTTTGAAACTGATGCAAATGATTATTGTTCTATTAAATTTAATGAATCGAATGAATTAAATGAATATGAATGTATTAATCTTAATAACGGAACATTTGGTTATTCTTATGTTCTTCTACTAAATGATCAATATTCTTTTGTGAATACCAAAGCTTCTGTAACTGATGAAATGAATTTCGATGCATTTATTAATAATGATTGTTTTGTTGAAGAAGAGATTTCAAAGAATGTAACTGTTAATGAAATGATTTATGCCAAAGAAAAAATGAATGATTTAAATGAAAGTAATGTTAAAAAAAAAATTACTGATGAATCTTCTAATGAAAAAATGAATGAATATACTAAAGCATCGAAGAATGAAAATGTAAATAATGAAAATGAAGTTAAAAAACTTAAAGAAAGCTTAATAAATGTTATGAAATGATTGATAAAAAGAGTGATAATGTAAAAGACCTTAAAGATGAAATTAGTCAAAGAAATAATGAAATTCGAAAATGAAAGAATGAAATATATCAGTTGAATAATGAATTACATGAAAATAAAGAAAGATTTACAAAATTATCAAATTTACTAATGACAAAGATGATATAATTAAAAGACTTCTGAAAAATCGAGATGAATCAATTGAAAGAAATAAAAAATATAGAG